GTGCAGAAGATCAGGGAAGAGATCAAGGTATATTTCAAGGAAATGAGACAGAGGAAGTATCGACAGCTACAGTATGGGAAAGTCATAAGGCATATATAAGAGGAATCTTGATTGCAATGGGAGCAAGGAAGAAAAAAGAAAGAAGAGAGAGGGTTAGTGGACTCTTAAAGGAAATCCTGGAGTTGGAAGCAGATACATAAGAAGAAAATAACAATAGAAACAAGACAGAAGTTAATGGATAAAAAAGACGAACTAGAGAATTGATGGAAGAGGAGAGGAGAAAGAGTATATAATAAAGTATTAAGTGAAAGATATAGATGGGGAGATAGACCAGGAAAATACTTAATGAGAGCTCTGAATAAAAAAGAAAAACAGAATTATATAGAAAAGATAAAAAGCCCTAAGGGGAGTTGGTTCACTCAACTAAAGAAAATCATTAAAGTATTTACGGAGTATTATAGAAAGTTGTATAACATCAGTCACCAAGGGTCACCAAAAGAAATTAGAGAAGGTATTAACGAAAAAAGGAAGATATATTTAAAAAATGCGGGATTGCCAAAGCTCAGTGAAACACAATTGAACTCCTTGGATGCGGAAATTTCCCAGGAAGAAATAGAAGCAGCATTAAGAAGTACAGGGGGAGGAAAAGCCCAGGCCCGGATGGTTAACAGTTAAGTACTATGAAAAATTTTGTGAAGTATTGTTACCAAAGTTGAGGAAATATATGAATGACCTGGGAGGCGGGATGGAGGGGAGGAGGGAATCCCTCAGGCCCATGTCGTTCTCATCCACAAGGAAAAAAGATCCTTCTCAGTGCTCTAGCTACAGACCAATTATCATTATTAAACACCGATACCAAGTTGTACGCAAAGGTCCTAGCAAATAGGTTGAAAGATCTAATGCCCGAATGGATCCATGGAGACCAGGTGGGCTTTGTCCGGGAGAGAGGGTAGAGACAATGGGTTGAGAACTTTGATGCTTATCCAGAAAAGAGAAAGGGAAAGCCCCGGTGGTGCTCTTGTCAATTGATGCCGAAAAGGCGTTTGATAGAGTGGACTGGGGCTTTATGATAGACAACTTGGAGGTGTTGGGGATTGGAGAGAGAATGCGTGAGTGGATAGGTAAATTATATAGGGAGCCCACCTCAATCATCACGGTAAATGGGAGAGAGGTCGAATCCATTGGATGTCCAATGGAACAAGACAGGGATGTCCACTGTCCCCCTTGCTGTATGTTTTGACATTGGAACCCCTGCTATCAATAATAAGGAATAGTGGAGCGATAAAGGGAATACAGGTAGAAAATATAGAACATAAAAGTAGCGGCCTTTGCGGACGACTTGCTGTTTTATGTAGGCAATCCCCGAATAACACTACCAAGTATAATGAAGATCCTGAAGGAATATGGTGAACTATCAAATCTAAAAATTAACCCAACAAAAACAGAGATCCTGAACATTAATATACCAAAAAGTGAAAAAGAAAAGCTACAAAAAGAATTTCCCCTTTATGTGGAGAGAAAAAGATATAAAATACCTAGGAAAAATTTGCTACCTCATATAAACAACTGTATAGACAAAACTATATTTCTCTGATAAATGAGACTAAGGACGAACTAAAAAGATTAGAATGAGGAAACCCATCATGGTTAGGACGTATAAACCTAATTAAAATGGTAATTATACCTAAAATACTCTATAGATTTCAAATGATCCCAATCAAATTCCCAGAGGTGTTTTTTTAAGATGAGTAGAATGTTAACAAGATATATATGGAAGAATAAAAAACCAAGAATATCATATGAAACACTAAGTAGGACTAAAGAGAAAGGGGGGATGGGACTACCTGATGTCAAGAGATATTACAAAGCTGTAATTTTAGCAAGAATTTATGATTGGACTTTTAATTATAAGGGGAAAAGTTTGGTAAAAATAGAAAATGAATTGAGTGGAATTAATTTGAGTAAGATGATATATGGGTTCCAGCACACTATAGAAGAATTAAAGAAAGCACAAGTACTTATACTTTAAATGTTTTTTAAGGATATGGGATAATTTACATAAACACATGAAATGGGATTCAACTCTATATTAATGCCCCTTGCAAACACGGAGTTCTTCCCTCCAGGAAAAGATGAGATATCAGGGAGATGGTTTAAAAAGGAAGATATCCAATTGAGAGACGTATTGGTAGAGGGGGAATTGAGAACATTTAAAGACTTAAAAGAGAGGGGAGGAGATATGTTTACTAAAATAGATGAGTGGAAATATCATCAATTAAAATGTTTTATTGGAACTCTCCCAAAACCCTTGAGATTAAAAAAGGAGTGGAATATATTTGAAAGGCTATTAGAAACACGTCGAGATGGGAAACACGGTGTCACAAAAATGGTATAGAATTCTTACAGAATTAGACACAGACACAAAGTTTAATTTTTATAACAAATTGGGAAAGAGATATGGAGGTGGAGATAGATGAGGATCAACAGAATAAGATATTTAGATTAGTTCACGAGAGTGTTAGTATGAGAGACGTTGAGATTAATTATAAGTGTTTGACACGATGGCATATTACAACCGAGCACTGAGCACAGGATGAGGGGGGAGAATTCAAAAATGTGTTGGAGAGGATGTGGGGAGGAGGGCACGGTGTTTCATATTTGGTGGCAATGTCCAAAAATTCAGGTTACTGGAAGACAATAGTCAAATTAATAGAAATAATAACTGGAAATGACATAGGATTAAGCCCAACCATGTGTCTCCTACATAATGTTGAGACAACAGTAAATAAATATAAAGAATCAGGAGTATGGCACTATTTAAGTGCTGCAAAAGGGTTGATTCCCAAGTTTTGGTGGAAGACAGAGGTGCCGACGGAGGAGGATTGGATCAATAGGGTAAACCAGATTAGTAGAATGGAAAAATCTTATTATACTCAGGAAGACAGGTTGAAACTATACCAATCGCGATGGGAAAAAAATGGGAAAAATCAGGATTGAAAGAGAAATATAGAAAACTCTAAACTAGGAAGTTACTTAAAGTTATTGGGCCTTGGGAGATTGGAGACCTTGCAGAGGGGAGGGAGGGGGAAGGGGGGAAAAGGTGGGTTGGGAGGGAAGGGAAGGAAAAGAAGTAAATAGAAGGGACAAAGTAGAAATGTATGGATTATTTATATGTATTATGTCTCTTCTTATGAATTTTATGTAATAACATGAAAAATTAATAAATATTTAAATTAAAAAAAAAAAAGAAGGATTTTGAGCTTTTTTTCAACACACTGCTATTTTGAACACAACTGTATATATATAAATACAGAGAGCAATAACACAACAGAGAGCTAAAGAAAGAAGTTTAGAGAGGTAGAATACTTGCCAGAAGTCCTGGTTTTAAGCAGCGTTCAAGTGTCCTGAACAAAAGGGTGCCTTTTCTCTCCCAAAGCTGGTTCCTAATGTTAAAAGGGAGATCTCTTCATCTTGTCTCTCTCATGCCTGACAGTCTATTTTCTAGTCCACCAGCAGGGTGTCTTCTTAAAGCAGTGAACCAATCGCCTCATTTGGGGAGGGGTGTTTAGGCGGGGAACTCAGGCTATGACCAAATCCCTCCCAGTTTATATCATGGTCAATAACCTTCCGTAGGTGCATGCAGCAGCCTAGCCACTGGCAGGATAATATGCAGAATGATATTCTGAACGTCCAGACACCAGATATGACCTATCTGGCTGTGGCTGTTAAAGAGATATCGCTTTCTGCTCCCGGGTAGATGTAATCTAGGGGTGTAAGGTATCAGGTGACTTGTATTAAAATGACCTCTCTGAATATATGCTTTGTATTCCTGTATGTATTTCTCACGGGAAATTATGAAAGTGTATAAAAGCTTTACGATCAGCTTCAGAGCAAGAGTGGACAGACACCCTAGCATCAGCTAATTGGGTTTACAACCATCAAGGGTATCCAGCTGTGCCCTGTGCACTCCTGAACTCAGCACACACGGACCACATGTCAAATGACGCAAGATGGAGGATCTTTGGCAAAATGGATGTTCGCATCCATATTTGTACGTACAATTGCTACACACCATCCCCCTTTCCTCTTGAGGATGAGGCACCAGACGAAAAATTCCTCAGGATGAGGCACCAGACGAAATTCCTCAGGATGGGGAAGAAGTGGAAGCTATTGAGGATAAGGAATCCTGTGTACAGGAGTCCTCCCAGAAGAAATCTCAGGGTTCAGAGAAAATGGTGAGCTTTCTGGTGAACATGGTGCACACCAACTTTATACTACTGCTGTCAGAAACCTCTTCCCCTTTAAAGTTACTAGTTTTGGTTTATAACGGCATACCTGTAATTCCCAAGTTCTTTCCAGTTTGCCCTCACTGTGATGTATGCCAATTTGGCTCACATGTAAAAGCCTTTTTTTTTGCCACCTAGGTGTTTTGCTCACCACTACCAGTAAATGGGGCTCTCTGGTAGTTGATCCTGCTGTTTCCTATTTAAATAAGACCTTGATGGTCCCAGTGGATGAGGTCCCAATCTATAACCACTTGCCTACAGGGCACTTATACCCCCTTCCTGCCCAGACCAATTTCCAGCTTTCAGCGCTGTTGCACTTTGACAATTGCGTGGTCATGCAACACTGTACCCATATGACATTTTTATCATTTTTTTGTGACAGAGCTTTATTTTGGTGGTATTTAATCACCTCTGGGTTTTTTATTTTTTCTTAAACCAAAAACCACTGAAAATTTTTTTCTTAGTTTTTGTTATAAAATTTTGTAAATAAGTGATTTTTCTCCTTCACTAATGTGCGCTAATGAGGCTGCACTGATGGACACTGATAGGTGGCACTGATGAGGAGGCACTGGTAGGTGGCACTGATGGGCATTGCCAGGTATCACTGATGGGCACTAAAAGGCAGCACTCATATATGGCACTGATAGGTGGCACTGACTGGCACTGTTAGGCGACACTGATGCACATTGATAGGCGGCACTGACTGGCACTGACAGGTGGCACTGATTGGCAGCACTGATAGGTGGCACTGATGGGTGACACTGAAAGTCAGCTCAGATGGGCACTGATATGTGGCACTGATGGGCACTGAAATGTGACACTGATGGGCACTGGCAGGTGGCATGGATGAGCACTGAGAGCTGGCACTGATGGACACTGACAGGTGGCACTGCTGGGGCTACACAGATCATCAGGGCACACTGATCATCAGTGCCCTGATGATCTGTGTACATGTTCCCTCCGAGGAATGCCGATTACCGGTTCTCCTCTCCTCACAAGCTGTCAGCGTGACAGCTCGTGGGGAGAGAAATGCCGATAACCGGGCATTTCCCTGTTTACATGTGCTCAGCTGTGATTGGACACAGCCGATCACATGACCGAGCCGACATCTTTGGCTCTTTCTGTGGATCGGTGTCCGAGGGACACAGCGCACCGCTGCGTGGTTAGAATGGGAGGATGTCATATGACGTCCTCCCAGAACGAGAGAACCACCTTGCGTCCGTCATATTACTATATGGCGGACGGGAGGTGGTTAAAGACACCTAGATTGTAAGCTCGAAAGAGCAGGGCGCTCAATCCCCTCATGTTTTGCATTGTATTGGTATTGTTCTGTCACATGTTCTGTCCCCCTTTGTAATGTACAGCACTGAGCAAACTATTGGCGCTTTATAAATACTGTATAATAATAATAATAATTAAGAGATTTGAGTCCCTCTTTAAGGCATCCTTCTTTCTTTAGGGAGTGGCTCTGCAGCTTGTGGTGGCTGCAGTAGGCACCACAAACTGAAAACGCAACTTTTCATCTTTAAGAGCAATCTCGCCAATCCAGCCATGTCTCCATGCTGTATTTTATGGAGAAAACACTTTATTTCTAGCTGTGACCATCTTGAATAAGGGCAGATGATTAATTTAGTTTTTACTTCCTTGAAATCTCTATGCCCTTCGTTCAGGCATGCAAGTAGGATGGTGTGCTTAGCTTAAAAAAGCCTCCTCCAGATAAAAGGAAAAAAAAATGTCCATGAAGACTCTTGAGATATAATTTGGCTAGGCCAAAAACCAGGAAGTAATTGAAGAATGTTAAATTAAATATATAAATCTACTTTCCTATTTACTTATGCTAGCAGCATATGGATTTAAATAGTTAATGTTAATTCGGAGATTTTAGTTCTGCTTTAAGTTCTCTGCAAAGCATATGCTCCGTTTCAGAGAATTGAATCCAGAAGATCCTGCCATTTGGTAGCTTCTAGAAGGTTTTCTGAAGCCTTAGAGTTTTCCTAAGGCACATTTTATGAGTGGGCACTAGGTCTGTCCACACGAGAAGGATCCTTGTGGCTCAAGTGTTGGCTGATGGAACTTCTCTGCAAGAAACAAATTGTAAGGCTGCCCTTTTCAGGGTAAACGCTTGCGTTGAGCCATCCTTGGATGCCTACATCCAGAAGATGACTGGGGAAAAGCACATCCTTATCTTTAACGAAGGTGATGACTCAGAAACCAATGATGCCTTCAGAGTCCCAAGAACAGTATCTTTTGTAAGCAACCAGCATTAGGCTCAAAGCAGAAGCCCACACATCAGTTCTATAAGAAGAACTGGAGCCCCAGGTCCCTCCAGTTCTGGAGGCAAACCCTCCTCACAGTAAATAGGGACCTCCACTCACATGTGGGTTCTTCTCCTTCACCATGCGGCTCTCGCTGACAGTCTGCAGGCCTGTACAGGGCTGTGCGGGGATCTGCACCTTTGGCTAGTGAATTCCAGTGCCAAGTGTTAGATTTTTAGACACATATAATACTTCTTCTAGTGTCTTGAGGCGATTATGAATGAAAGAGCCATTGTAATAAAAAATGAAGTGTGATTTTATTCTATCACACAATGGTGTCAATAAACAATGTAAGCGTATTATGAACCGTTCCATGTAGAAAGAACACTACTGTAAAACTGACAAGCGAAAGTTAACAAAACAAAGTCACCAATTTTTATTATCTGTCATGGCTGTTCTGTCTTTGCCATGTGCTCCATGCCCGCCATGCTGTCCTTCCAATGACTTTGTTAAAGAAGGAGAAGCCGGATGTGACTAAATTGTAGCTGTAAGTGATCTCAGTAATGCACCCTTTGTGCAGCTTCTCAGACGTGTGTATGCAGGAATCATGTAGCTTTGTTGTATCGAGAGAGAGTGTGTGTGAGCGTGTGTTCCCCATTGTCCGTTCCCCCCCCCCCAGATGGTCTTTTATGAGGCAAATGTTTACGTCAAAGTTAGTGATCATTAATACCTTCTATGGAAAGTATTACTGCTTAGCAAAGCTATTTCATAAAAGGGAAAGATGCTATACATATGATGTTATTAGATTGGACAGGAACATATGTATGCTGATGTACCAATGATGTAACCCTTAGCTATATATTTTAAAAGAAGTATAGAACCGCTTAAGAACATAATCAATGTAATAATCACTAAACTATAATGTATCAGTGTTAGAGACGTATACTAAATATACACAGAAAATACGTAATGTAATAGTAAGTTCACTTCTAATAACCTTGACATAACTACTACAAATACTTTTAACCAACTATCTCTAAATTATAGTCTACTCAACCTTTCAACTGGTATATACTATTTCAGCTTATCCTTGTATATCTTTTGGTCTCAGCTATAATTGAAGAATAGTAAATACTACCATTTGTCACAGACCACTTACATATATTAATATTAATTATGACTAATCATAAAAAATACCAAATATTTTGCAAGCTTGCCATCAATATAAGTGCCGAATCATAATTTAGATTTAACATTTCCCGCCTTATTATGATTAGTCTAAAATTAATGCCAAATCAATTGCACACTTCATTCATGTCCCATAACAACACACCGTCCTATACCAAATGATCGTATATATTTCTTCATAACTGGGACCAATCAAAATAACTTTTCCTACAAAACTCTATACCTAATCTTTTCAGTTTCTCTTCCTAAAAAAAATTCTTAATCATAATGATTTTAATTGATATATGATAATATAGTTAATAATATAATAATAATAATAGAAATAATTAAAAAAAGTGATGTAATAATTTTATTAAATAATTAGATATTTCCATATTTGTATAATATTTTAAACGCTCCGGAAATATACTTTCCATTCTACAATGTGTCATAAGTTTATATTGCTTTCCCTATTATCAATAATAAATAAGATTTTATCATTAAAAAATAGAATATCCTCTTGATGAATCTTTTCTTCATGCAATGTCTATAAAATATCTTCTTTAAGTTCATGTGTAAAGTAGAAACATTTTTGTTATTTAACGTGATAAAATAACTCCGTCACAAAGTGTGAAGTATTGAGTTCTTGTTCATTCCACCTTCTTTAACTGTCCAAATTCCTTAAGTTTTGGCTTGTAGGAGATTGTTAACGCTTTCATATTTGATTTTAGATGTCCATTTCTGTAAAGAAATGCAGTATCATTACATTTGGCAACAAACATTGCATTAGTTACTTGCACCTATTTCAACAAATATGATAAATTATATGGAAGGGATTATGGGAACAATCAGTGTATGAGTTTGAAACACATAATTGTGAAGTTATCATTAAAAATTTCCTATTTCCTTTTACAGAAAACTTTATATATCAATCAAAAAGGTAATGTCCTAATCCTGTCTGAAATTACCTAAACTAGAATACAAAAGTAGTGTGTTATTTAGGTATGACAGGAGCGCAATATTTCATCATAGGACATGGACCGCAAAACCCTGTTTTATTAAACAAAGAAAGGTTTTGGTATTCACCCCAGAGTATGACAAAGGTTTATGCCTTTGTTTCATCCCTATAACTTTAGAAATATGCGTAACTGTTTTCGTTGCTGATGTCATTACTCTAGTGTTGAGTGTTCTTCATTAATGCATGTGTTGCTGTGAATGTGAGGTAGAGACTTGTCTGATACAGCTGTATCTATCACAATGTGTTTGGCTAACAGTGCTCTTATCCACTGAGGATACTTTTCACGGCATTCTCTGAATGTATCTTCTCTCAACGAATTCTTCTTAAGTGAACTGTCAGGAGACTGTAATATGATACTATGTGACATTACTGTGCATTTGTTAAGCTTTGAATGCATAAAGAGAAACACAACAGATTGCTAGTGCCTCAGATGTGTAAATGTTCATTCCAATAGTGATAAATTTCTGGAGAAGTTAACAAAATAGTAGTCTTTCATCACCTTCTTTTAATTGAGGACAACGATTACTGAAATAGCATTCTCAGTATACATGAGTATTCACACAACAAAAGGAGCATTGGAACAAACCACAAAGAGTACTTAATGCTGGTGCGCAATCTGCAAAATCGCTTTTTCAACACTATTAAAAGTCATTATCGTCTCATTTGGACCCCATTTGGTCAACTAAGTTATTTTTACTCTTTAAAAGATAGATATAATGGGCATTAACTTTCTTCCTGCGAAAAAACCAAGTATAAACTCTTAGCAATGATTAATGATTTTTCACAAATTGTTGCAATGCAATATGTAGTTGTAGGAAACTGGAATGGCAGTGATTGCTCTGACTGTTTCCTGCATAATTGTTCTTTCCTGAACTGAATCTGCATGTGAAAGCATTTCCCTGGATTTTATCAGCTGAACTCTTTCCGTGGTTTAATTTAAGACCTTTCATCCTGTAACAACATAAAAAGCTCGACAAAAGGGGGAATTGTTCGTTAAAAATTTTTGCGTTTCTTAGCATAAATTTTATTTTTCATGCTGGGAAAAAGGGTTCGGCCCTTTAAAATTGTGATAGAAATTTTTTTTATGGACTAAAGGGGGCTTACCCCTCCGATGTCTAAAAACCCGCTACTAATCGGGGGGAATGCATAGGTCTCTTTTTTGAAAAATTAAAAACTAAAATTGGGGGATTGACAATTTTAGTTTGGGGGGTGAAAAAAAGACTGTTATTTGATTTCCAAAACAGAAAACACCTTTTGGGTTCGGCCCCTTTAAAAGTAACTTGGGTATTAGAATGATTTAGGAAAAAACTGCTTTTTTATTTGTAAAATGTTTATTCAGTGTCCCGAAATCAAACTGACAAAGAATATGAATTGTCAGAAATTTTTGATAGGCCAAAAACAGTTATTTTTTATTTAATTTGGTTTTTTTTACAATGCCCAAATTGTACAAACTCTTGAATAATGGCCCGAAAAGGGGCCTATTGATTTTTCGTGGTAATCATATTTAGTAAAAGGGTATGGGATCTTTACCCTCCCAAAATTAAAATTTTGTTTTCTTTCAAGGGTTTCCTTTTTTGGGGCATTTTTAAATTTTGCCACAAACTTGGAAAACGTTTTTTTACCAATTCTTGTTAAAACATTTTTTTTCCCCTCAATAACAGGGCCCTTTTTTTGCT